TGATCTCCGGGGGCCCAATTTTAGGATTTCGCCTCAGGCCCCGCCGATCACAGGACCGGCCCTGCTTATACTTATGACCACTTTTTTTAATTTCAATGTCCCTTCAATGAAATATTTATTTCCTTATATTAGTTCTTATCAGGAGGGAGGCTACACTGAACCTCAACGCAATGAACCAGAGTCCCAATCCATGGCACATCTCTTTCTCCTATGCACGAGCACTAGAGAACACATGCTTAAGAAATGGCAATGACGCCCAGAGAACGTAGAAGCTGCACAGAAACCACTTTTGGTGCGAGCAAAGGCGAACTCGGCACAGCTCGGAAAGTACTCAGATGAAGGTGAGAGCGAGGAAGCTAAGAAGGGAATGTTTGTTAAGGGATACTCATACTAAGTGCCAGGTTCACTCAAAAGTCAACTCAATATAGTTGAGTAATTTTGATTAGTGCTTAGTTCTCTCTTGCTAGCTCTGTATGCCGATGAGACAATGAAATAGCTCATTGCTCTACTATTTCCATGTTTAATATAATGAGGTTGAATAATAATAAGATGTGACAAGGATATCTGAATTTTGAAGCGGATTTAGACATTTAGTGATGAGTTAGGTGCTCGTAGATTATCTTGACATAATTTATTTTCAACGATTTGGATACTGAGATGCTTTCAGAGGCTATTTTGATAGGGGGAATTGAAACTATTTGACCTATTGTACTTGAATTTAAATTTAAAATTTTCCGTGATCGTTATTTTGGTAGTGACATTTGACCTATTTATTAACTTGCTGCATTAGCATCATTATAAAGGCTATAAACACACGTTTAGTACGCAGAATTGAACAAAACTCGTCAATTTAATATACAAGCTTTAAATTCTTTTTTGCCCCATCAATAAAGGGCCAAATCCATGTTATGAAGTCTGGAAAGATCATGTAGTGTCCTGCTTATTTTAATTTACAAAATGAGAATATTCATATATTATTATAACATTTTCAGTAGACTTTTTAAATACAAGATGTTCTTCATTTTAGATGGTCAATGCTTAAAAATAAGTTTACAGAGACTTTATTTTAACTTTTAAAGTATAGAGCGAGTTTGGTTCTTCAAATTTGAGAGTGAAAGCAACCACGTGTTCTTAATTTACAATAATTGCATTTAATAAGCCACAATTTTAAATACTTTAATTCTTAAATTATTTAAATTACATTTAAATGTATTGGCCATTGTCGTATAAAACTATGTTAAATGAGAGATGACAAGGAATTAATAAACGTTCCTTGAAAATGCAAAATGAAGAGTCAAAATACTGAGCATTGCTGAAGTGTATAAACAAATTTGAGAAATGTTATTTAGCATTGTTGGTGTTGCACCACCCATCTATGTGACACTAAGTAACATTAAATGAGAGATAAAATTAAATGAGTTGCATATTCTATTTATCATTAAGCATATCACATAGCGTAACCCAAGCTTGTGTTATAATACCAATTGTGTTAGATAACATTATTTAGAAAATTTACTCTACTCTTTAAATTTAAAGATATTCTATATTATGCATAAAATGTTCTTTATACGTGGAGAGTTTCTTAAAGAGACTCTTGGCATATTATTCTAGCAGTAAAATGGATACATTCGACAATGGGGTTGATAAATGGCAGAAAAAAGAAGAAAAAGAATCCATCCATTTTTATTTTTTACTTAATTTAATTTCTTTTATTTTTGTTAAAAGTATAAATAATTTGACTTGTGAGCTTGAAATTTGAGGAGTCATGTTGAAATTCCCGAAGAGATTGGCATTACATTTATATGCTTTAAACCACTAAAATATGTTAAATTTTTTCTAATTAATCTTAGAAATCCAAAAGTTACTAGGGACAACTAAATTTTAATGGAATTTATTAGAATTTGAGGTGTAGACACTTGAATTTTAAGGTGATCTACTAAAATTTGAGTTATGACAACTAAATTTATGTAGACTTTTAGTTGATGGCATTCCCTAATAATTGTTTAGGGTGTGTTTGATAGTCTAGAAAATTAGGTGGAAAAAGAAAATATTTTCCAACTTCACCCAATTAATGGTGTTT